AAAGCGTAGTACATGGAAAGGGCTGTTGTTACTACTACAGCGCCCGTCTTTCCCCTGCTATTTGAAGGGTTATCTCCCTCGTGCCAGGCGCTCGCCTTAGGTGGTCTCGGTTCCCACTGTCCTAAGCTCCTCTAGTCGAGTCACGCCCTCCTCAGCGGGGCCCCTTCCAGCTCCTCCCCCCACCCCACTCTCCATCCCCATTTCCCCACTAGCCGTGGGGAAGGAGACGCCAGACAACAGTCGCCAGAACCCCGAAGCTGAACAGAAGCAAAGGGACAGAATTCTAACCGCCGCCCGAAACCATTGGGCTGGGCTCCCTCCTCCAGGTCCCCTGATCAATCAAAGGCGAAGAAGCAAGCCTCGGGACCAATCAGAAGTGGAAGCGGTGGAACAATGCCCGCCTCCTTAAAGCGCCCTCGCGCCTGATTGGATGTGTCCAGGCTAAGCCACTTAGGAGTGGGGCCAGCTGATCGACGGTGCAATGGCAGCGGGGCCGGGGGAAGAAGGGAGGCAGTCGGCCAGCCACAGATTGGTACGGTGTGTCAGCACCAAAGCCCTGCCTAGTCAGAAAGCCCGCTGGCCGGGTTCTAACCCCGGGCCAGTTAATGGTGGGGCAGCGTAATGGGTCATTCTCTTTACGGTGTGTTGGGGGCTGGTACATGAAGTACGCAGTTAATCCTGACTCAGCAGACAGCTGGGGCGTCATCGTGTATTTGAAGCGCGAGCATCTAGGCCAATGAGGGGGGTCAAGGCACTGCCCTCTCTTGTGTCTTCTCTGTCCCCGCATACTTCCGGGTGAGGCAGGGTGCGTTCTGCAGCCAATTAATGGTGGTGCAAGGCAAGAGGCGGGAAAGGGGAGCTGCCCACTGGCACCCAAAGCCTGATGGCCTCCTATCCAATCCCAGTCACTTCTCCACAGATTGTAAGGGGTTGAGAGAAAGGTGAAAGGGTTTGCAACGAGGACTACACAGGATGGAAAGATAGAAACAAGAAAGCAGTGGTATCCCTGAGCACTTTCAGAGGGAGCCTCCAAAGCTATGCAGGTGAAGGAGGTTCAGGCCCCAGTCTCTTCATAAAGAGGGGGGGACAGAGCAATCTGCGCAGCCAGAAAGCATTGAGGACCGGCTGGTGGATGAGCTCTCAGCCTTAGAGGCCTGAAGCCTAAGTCCGCGGACCAATCAGATTTAAGGCCCTGTCCCTCCACAGCGCCAGCCAGGTGGGCGCGAGCTCGGCTCCGCAGCCAATCAGCGGAGGTCGCGAGGCAGAGTTGGGGACCCGGGGGCCGGGAGGGGGAGGGGCAGGGGGTGGTGCGGAGTGGAGCTGTCCTAGGTGCCTCCCAGGCTGTTGTGATCCCTCAGCCGGCGGGAGCCAGGAAAGAGGGTGTGGCCAGCACTGCGGCCAATCAGCGTCTGCCTCGGGATCCAGGGCGACCAGCGAGCTGTGCACGCGGCCCGGCCTCGAGCTCCGAGCCTCGCGCCGCTCCACTTTCTAACGGCTACTCGGGCTTGTGCCGCCCGGAGTGTATGTGAGGCGGAGTGAGGAGAGGAACAGGGCCTGAGTCGGTGAGTGCCATGGATTTTCTTTCTTTTCTTCGGGCTTGGGCCTGGCCCAGTCAAAGCTGAGGTATGGGGGCTTGAGTGGTCGCCCTGAGGATGAGGATCGGGAAGTGGGGGTGAGGGCGTTAGGCTTTGGGGACTCCCTCTGCCCTGGAGAGGCTGGAAGTGGGGCCTCCTGGGCACCGTTGGGCCCGGCTGGGCAGAGACCAGGCCGGCATGTCCCCGGGCCCTGAGACAGCCTGATTTGGAAGTGTGTTGTGGGGCAGGTGGAGGCCTTGGAGCTCTGTGTGGGGTCATTGGCCATGAGGTATGGCCTCTGACCTATGAGAGGTTGTCCGGGGTCTCTGGACTGAGACTGGATCTGGTGACTGGAGAGGTCTGTGACTCTCCAGAGGTTCTTGGGAGTCTTTGACCAAGAAATGAAACTAGTGAGAACTTGAGAGGTTTTCTGGAGTCTTTGGATCCAGCCTGGGCTGAGAGTGAGTGTTGATGAAGTCGAAAGCCCAATGGGAAGTCGTCAAGAGTCATTGCATCCTGGCTGTGATGGGAACATGTGGCTGCAAGACTTTTGGGGGACTCTAGCTTCTGGGTTGGGGTGTTTGTGTAAGATTTTCCAGGACTGGGTCCAGGCTGGACAACGTGGCCAGGAGATTAGGGCCGTGGTCTTCTGGAGGTTCCGGGGTGGGGAGGGTGTCTCTGAATCCCAGCAGGTTGTTTGCCCTCCATGAAGTATTATTGTTTTGTGGTGGCTCTAGATAGAACCAGGATTGAGTCGTGTCTTGGGCCTTTTAGTCCCTGTTCCCATTCTTCCGCAACCTGTTTCTGGTCATTCCCAGAAGACATCAGGTTCTAAGCATGGGGCAGCTGCTTGGAGAAGATGGACATTGTACTGGAGCATAGGAGGTGTGTGAGATATCCTGCTCTTTAGGAAATCACCCAGGTTGTCTTTACTGAAGATCTTTTTATACTTATGAGGCAGGATGTTGATATCTAATTTCACTCCGCTGTTCAAGCTCTACCTGGTACTAAAGCTTTCAGGGTACTTTCATGTACACCCAGAGTTCTTAAACCAAGGGTGGAGGTGCATGGGGGGAGTCTATGAGTGGATTACAGGGTCTATGAGCTCCTGGAAATAATCCAAAAAACTGTATGTGTTGGCAGGGGGGGCGGTAAAAGCAGCCACAAGGATGAGGAGTGAAGCCTGTGCAAGGGTGAGTTTCAGAGCAGTCTGTGACTCTCTTGTCATTCACATGCAAAATGGTATGAGAATCTACAATTTTCTGATGTAAAGAGTTGATTCCACGACTTACAATTTTAAAAAGCATAGTGACCCCCTGAGAGGTTAAGAACCACTACAATAAAGCAGGCTCCCATATTATTTATGGGGCTTAGGCAAGACTAGAAATGGAGATTTCCCCTCTTATCCCCACATCTGGTGTTGGCGCATACTTCAAGGTGTCTCACATACTAGCCTGCATGTCCAAGTTCCGTCTACGTGCGCCTCCCACCCAATCGGCCACACAATTACATCAATCACATAGCCCACTCGGAAGAGTATAGACCTGGGTCTGAGGCCAACGTAAACCCAGGAAGTGGGCTATTTGGGCCAGGAGGTCCAGGGTTCCGAGTTCCCAGAGCATGGTCTAGAATTGGGGGGCACAGGTTCCAGGGGGGTACTTCCTAGATACCCTTGGACTCCTCAGCCCATGGGGAGGGACACAACTAGAGGTCAGAGTGGGGCCCTCTGTCTGGATTTGAGGCAATATGGATATTCAATACTGGTCTTGAAAATAGTCCCTATGAGGAAGTTGAGGGTCTCAGAAGAGTTAACCCCGTTAGTGCTGAAGAAAAAGGCAGTCCACTGTGAGGATGCAGTGGAACCTAAGTTGTTTTTACTTCTCATCTGGTTGTTTTGCCACTTAATCCACAAAAGGTGTGCTGTGATAGGGTCTCTATGACCTAGATTCAGCTCACCTGCCTATTACTATATCCAGATCTTGGGCTATGTAGAACATAGATTTAAGGGAAGAAAGAAGCTCATTCATTCTGTGGTGTCTCTCCTCTGGTATATGTTGGATGTACTTAACTAAAAAGATTTATGTAAGGTTTGGATAATTGGTTTTAATCTATATAAAATGATGCAGGGAGTTTAACCACCTTAATTTGCCGAAAGTGATGTGTTCCTGGGAAGAGTGGAAAGTTCATAGAACTTTTCTGAATTGAATCTTGTTTAACCTGGCTTTTGGAGGTACTCAATACCTCAATACGTGAGACCAAGGGAGAATATTTTCATAAAACAAATAATCATCCCTCTAATTGGCATATTCTGATGGTTTAGTTTTAATTATAATATTTGAAGAGACTCTATACTTGTATTGCTGTGTTGACATTTTTACAGCAAGCTGGGTTGTGCCTGAAGGTCAAGTCTATCAGTAAGAATAAAAGATATCAGATTTCAAACTTTATTTAGTAATATGAATATTAGAAAGGACTGAGAGGCAAAAATCTTACCTCCTTTTCCCACATTCTTTTCTTCCAATTATATCCTACCTAACCTCTCCCACCTACGGTACCCTCTCCCAGGATGCAGGCTTGTGTCCTCATGACCTGTGGTTTCCTGGCTCCACCCCAGAGAGACAACTGCAGGAGATCCCTACTGAGTCAGCCTGGGAAGTGGAAGGTGGGCAAGGTTTCTGAGGCTGGGGAGGAGAGTCCTTTCAAGAAGAGAAACACAAGACTTCCCTGGTGGTCCAGTGGTTAGGACTCCGGGCTTCCAATGCAGGGGGCACGGGTTCGATCCCTGGTCAGGGAAGTTTTGCATGCCATGCAGCCAAAAAGAGAGAGAGAGAGAGAGAGAGAGAGAGAGAGAGAG